CCCCCCCCCCCCCCCCCGCGCGCGCCCACCTGTAGCGCCCGCGACGTCTCCGCGTGTTGTGACAGCTGCTCCTGGCACGCCTTCCTCTCGGCACGGACGGCCTCCATCTCCTGCTTGAGGAACTCCCTTGACACGCGGAAGGCAAGGAGGGGTGCAGGGACGGCGGGCGGGCGGGCGGGCGGCGGCGGCGGCGGCGGCGGCGGCTGCCGCGGCGAACACGCTGAAACGAGAAGCCGGAGGGTGCGGTGTGGTGATGAGCGTGGGGAACCCGCCTCCCTCCTACCGGGGGTGCCGCAGCATGCCTCACAGCACGAGATCGCCGACTGTTCACCAAGAAAGCAAAAGGCAAATGAAAAGAAAGGGTCCCAACCATGCGCACCTGAGGAACCTACCTGCACTTTCGCCTGAGAGGCGTTCAATGGTGAAACTCGACGACAAAACCACCTCCCCCTCAGTCTTCCGCCTGCCTTCTACGTTCGGCGCCAGCAACGTCTCCCCCTCCCCCCCGATGAACGCATCGATAGCCTACTTCGAAGCCACCAGTCAGCAATAGTTATTTCCGCGTTTGATATTCATCTGATAACTTTACCGCTGAACCGCCCACTCACCCGGCTGGTGATCAACAAACGCAATGCCTGGCAACCCAGTCCCCCCTCCCCCCCCGGATTTTCCTCCCACCCCCACCCGGCAAACACGCAACACCTCTCTCGTGCAACGCCCTCCTCCTTGACTTCCAGAGACTGCCTGGCCTCGTGTCTCGCCGCCTGCAGGGCGTCCTCTCGCCCCCTGGCCCCTTCGCGTTCCCGCCTCCGCACCTCCTCCGCCCTCGCTTCCAGCGACACCGCGAGGTCCCGCAACCGGAGCTCTTCCGCTCTCACGCCGCGCGAATCTAGCTCAGCTGATCGACGGACTTCCTGCAACGCAGTCCAAGTAGGGAACGGAGGCGGGGAGAAGAGGGGTGGCAGAATCATGTAAGCAGGGGGTCAGGCGGGCATTTTGTACGAGTTGTCTGACTGTCTATCCCCTGCGGCTGTGTGAGGGTGACCGTGCGTTTGTCTCGCAGCCCCTTCAAACGTGGGATGGCGCGCGGGAGGTACAAAGTTGACCTGGAAGCACGGCACCGACAGCCCCGCTTGACAAGACCCGACAAGACGGCCGATAGCTCATGCACAAGAGCGCACCGCCAACAACAACAACAACAACAACAACAACAACAGAAAAACCATCAAACAACAACTGTTTGCCTGCTGCCCGGTTTGTCGTGTGAACACGATTAATCGCACGGACGCCGCTAGAACAGCAAAGACATGTGTGGTCGACTCAACCTCGGCGTATGACAACCACGCTCAGAGAAGAGAGAGAGAAAGAGTGAGGGCACACGATGCGGAGGATCGAGGGGCTCCGTCATATCACAAAACCTCCCTACCACGTGCAAAGAGACTTCGTAGATGGGCGTCACCCCCGAGAATACCGAACCACAACAGCGGCAGCATGCTTTGGCTATGAACGAGACTGCTCGGCTTGCCTACAACCAATCACCGACAGCAACCCCCCACACACACACACAAACACGTCTCCCTCGCCTGTTCCCGTATCCTGAGGAGGTCCATCTCGCGGAGAAGGTTCTGCCTGGCCTCGAACTGAGACACCTCGGCTTCCCGCATGCGGTTGTTGTGCCGCCTCTCCCGGTCCCTCTCCGTCTCCTGCAGTCTCTCGACGCGGGCGTCGTACTGGGACTGGAGCTCTCTCCGCATCGCGTCCACCTCTCTCCGCTGCGTGGAGGCCATTTGCACCCGCAGGGCGGCAAGGTCACGCTCGCGGAAGGAGTCGCGTTCCGCCTTGATCTGTCCGAGAACAAGAAGAGAGAGAAAGGTCAAGAGAGAAAGGGGGACAGAAGGATGGAAGGGCAGAGACGAAATATAGAGAAGGAACAGAGACGGAGAGAAGCAGAGAAACAGAGCGAGAAGGAGCGAGAGAACATAGATATATAGCTTGGGGTAGATGAGAGGGGGCAAAGACAGGTGTAGGAGAAGCGAGAAAGAGAGACAATGAAACCTTGACAAAATGCTGATCGGGTCGTCTTAAGCCTTCAACACTGCTACCCAGCCACACTCCACCGACCATTTTATAATTCCTGCTGTGACGTGCGAAACCAATATAAACTCGTCAACCTTCTCTTGCCCCCCCCCAACAAAAAAACAAGCAGGCCAGCAGACGCGGAGCAACCCAGCAGCTTGCCTGCGCTGCTGCCCGCGACTCGCACTCCCGTTGGTAGGCCAGCATGCGCTCCGTCACATCTTGCGCAGGGTCGCGCCTTTCGTCCGCGGAGCGCCTCAGCCACGTCTCTCGCACCGCTTCCAAACGAGTGACTGCCACAAGGTGTGCATGGTTCGGGCAAAGGGGGAGGGAAGCACGCACGCGCGGGGTACACGTCGCTGTGAAAGGCGAGAGAAGTGTAGTACTACCCGCACCCCCGCACCTGGCCCTGTGAAAGGCAGGGGCAGAGCATGTTCGGACTATTGCCAACTTGTGGAGGTGGAGGCTAGGGCAATCCATGTTCGGCCGCCGCAGGCAACGCGTTATGGAAACCGCGGTCCAAATTCAAATATCGATCAAGTCCGGGATTCCGCCGATCCCTCCACAAGAAAGGGATCTCTAGGAAGGAGCGTCGACCCCACCGTCTTTGGTAGGCCTCTGACGCTCGCTCCAAGATAGAATAATCGCATGCACGGCAAGTACCGTGCCAATATCGATGTACGGTGCCCCCTCCCCCTCGAACACCCAGCTAACCGCCACTTTGCACCAAGGGGGCCCTAAATGCTGCAGCTACCGATCGCTCATGTTTGTTATATCCGGTGGACAGCCAAGAGCGCGTCGACACATGCGCTTTGCTGTACCCCGTCCCCTCCGCGCCGCCCCCGAACCCTTCCCCTTTCCTCACCCAAGTTCTCCTTGTGGCTGCGCCCCGCCTCGTCCGTCTGTGTGTTGGAGTCAACCACGACAGCGCGAGACCTGGTGGCCACCTCGCCGACAAGTGCCTCGAGCAGGCCGCAGATACGGTTTCGCTGACGCGAACCCCCCCCGCCGCCGACTCTGGATGCTGCTCCAGCGTGACCCCCGCTTCCTGCAGCCGGCACCGCCGCCGACGCGTTCGACACCACGGCCGCATCAGCACCAGCCACCGTCCCCGGCACCGCCGCTGTTTCTCCGTCGCTGCGGCACGCCGGGCCCGCGTCGTTGCCCTCGCCCTCTTCCGCCCGCCTGATCACGCGTCGGAAGAGGGCGGAATCGACAGGTATCGGCAACGCTTGCAGCACGTCTTCTCGAGAGAGCGCCGCCTCAGCCGCCGGAGCGGCACCAGGGCCAGTGCCGACGGCAGCCGTGATGCTGCAGCTGCTGCTGCTGCCTCCGCCGAGGCCCGACTCCGGCAAGAAGACTGCCAGAGATTGCAACAGGCCGTTGCTGGCGAGATGGTCCACCACAAGGCTGATGAATTTCGGGAGGCGGGGGGGGTG